CACCCCGCGGTGCACAGCGTCAGGGCTGGCCCAGGACAGGCGAGGGGCCAAGTGAAGAGTTTGGGGGGATGCCTTCCCTGGTGAGGAAGGGAATGGCATGGAGGTGAGGAGGTTCTGGTGATTACAGGGACGCTAGGAAAAGGAAGTTCCGGGACCCTCCCTGCTCATGCCCACCTCGGCTTTCTGCCTCAGGCCTCACCTTGTCCCCAGAGCCTGGACGCCCCCTAACCGCTTGGTAGATGTGACCTTTAATCTGGGGGGCTGGCCCTGCATGCCCCAGCCCTCTCAGAGCCCTGGGGAGCCCCTTGGGCCTCCGCCCGACCCCCCAGGCCAGGCTCTGAAGCTGGCCTCTGGGACTGGGCCCCCGGCACAGTGGGCACCTGCACCAGCCCCACCTGTGCTTTGGCCCTTCCCTGCAGGGCACTCACCATGGCCCCGCCGCTCCTGCTGCTGCTGCTGGCCAGTGGAGCGGCCGCCTGCCCACTGCCCTGTGTCTGCCAGAACCTGTCCGAGTCGCTCAGCACCCTCTGTGCCCACCGGGGCCTGCTGTTTGTGCCGCCCAACGTGGACCGGCGCACTGTGGAGCTGCGGCTGGCCGACAACTTCATCCAGGCTCTGGGGCCGCCGGACTTCCGCAACATGACGGGGCTGGTGGACCTGACGTTGTCCCGCAACGCCATCACCCGCATCGGGGCCCGTGCCTTCGGGGACCTGGAGAGCCTGCGCTCCCTGCACCTGGATGGCAACAGGCTGGTGGAGCTGGGCACCGGCAGCCTGCGGGGCCCCGTCAACCTGCAGCACCTCATCCTGAGCGGCAACCAGCTGGGCCGCATCGCACCAGGGGCCTTCGACGACTTCCTGGACAGCCTGGAGGACCTGGATCTGTCCTACAACAACCTGCGGCAGGTGCCCTGGGCGGGCATCGGTGCCATGCCTGCCCTGCACACCCTCAACCTGGACCACAACCTCATCGATGCGCTGCCCCCGGGCGCCTTCGCCCAGCTCAGCCAGCTCTCGCGCCTTGACCTCACCTCCAACCGCCTGGCCACCCTGGCACCCGACCCGCTCTTCTCCAGGGGGCGCGACGCCGAGGCCTCACCCGCCCCGCTGGCGCTGAGCTTCAGTGGGAACCCCCTGCACTGCAACTGCGAGCTGCTGTGGCTGCGGCGCCTGGGCCGGCCGGACGACCTGGAGACGTGCGCCTCGCCGCCAGGCCTGGCTGGCCGCTACTTCTGGGCTGTGCCCGAGGGCGAGTTCTCCTGCGAGCCGCCCCTCATCGCCCGCCACACGCAGCGCCTCTGGGTGCTGGAGGGCCAGCGGGCCGCGCTGCGGTGCCGGGCACTGGGCGACCCTACGCCCACCATGCACTGGGTTGGCCCTGATGACCGGCTGGTGGGCAATTCCTCCCGAGCCCGGGCTTTCCCCAATGGGACCCTGGAGATTGGGGTGACAGGTGCCGGGGATGCGGGGGTCTACACCTGCATTGCTACCAACCCTGCTGGTGAGGCCACAGCCCGTGTAGAGCTGCGGGTCCTGGCCTTGCCCCACGGTGCGAACGGCAGCACTGAGGGGGGCCGCCCGGGGCCATCGGACATTGCTGCCTCAGCCCGCACTGCTGCCGAGGGCGAGGGGACGCTAGAGTCTGAGCCAGCCGTGCAGGTGACGGAGGTGACGGCCACCTCAGGGCTGGTGAGCTGGGGGCCTGGGCGGCCAGCGGACCCCGTGTGGATGTTCCAAATCCAGTACAACAGCAGCGAGGACGAGACCCTCATCTACCGGTGAGGATGCACCGAGCAGCCCCTCGGCTCCACCCCTCCAGGGCTGGGCCACGGCTCCCGCTCCTGCTCCTTCTCTCTCCTTGGGCTTCCAGGCACCCCCTCCTCAGCTTCTGAGCTGCAGGGGGTGGGGGGATCAGGCACCTGGGAGGATGTGGGCGCTGCCCCACCTGGTCTCCCATGTGGCTGAGCTGACTGAGGCCTCCTGGCATGGGGTGGCCGGCCACACGTGCATGTTACTTCTGTCCCCGCTGATGTGATTCTCCACCCCCCCTCGGCTCGTCCCGGGCCTGTGTCAGGGCACACACCCGTCTGTCCCTCTGCACTGTCTCCAAGGCCACACATGCATGCTTGTCTTGGTTTCCCTACCTTCTCGAATGAACACACACGGCCAGTGTGGTCCTAGGGGAAGAGGGTGTTCAGAGCTGGGACCTGGGAGTGTGCGGTGAGGGTGGTGGGGGTGGGCTGTGAAGGGGGCTTCGAGGCCGTGGGGGG